AACAAAAGTTTTTATCTATGTACAAGGCCACACCACCTCCCATCTTATTCTCTCTGTTTGTACATATCAAGTCATAGCCATCAAGGTCAAAATCCATTCCCCTTACAGTGTTAATCCAAGTTTCAGAAATAGCAATTATATTAAAAGAATGTTTTAGACTACTAAGATAATGTTTTATACTCTGAAAGTTTGCGTATAAACTTCTGCTATTAAAGTGAATAAGTGATAATTTGTTTTCAGTCTTGACATTGCTGTTAAAATGCTCATCCGTGTCATAATTGCAGTTATTTTCAGAGTTCTTCAAAAAGTTTTTTTCAGGGTCAAAATCTTCGTCCGGTTCATGATAATGAATTTCAGTATTTCCAATAGTGTTCAGTTCCAGCTCCAGTCCCTCAAAAACTATTAACTTCTGTAACAAATCACTTGCCTCATTCCGTACCTTACATTGTGGTGCAGAGTTTGCATGTTCTCCCTGTGCCTGCATGGGTTTTCTCTAGGTGCTCCACTTTCCTCCCACAGTCCAGTGTCACAACCCAGAAACAGATCACCACATACCCAAATCAGCAGCCATGAATGAACAAGGAGGTGTGGCTTCTGCTGAAGGCTTAAATTTGCCTTCAGATCTGGTGATGCACAGGCCTACAGCTTATCCAGGGCCAACCTGAGGAGGAGCATCAAGAAGGCCAAGCCCCACTACAAGCTAAAGGTTGAGGAACACTTCACAAACTCTGACCGCCGATGTATGTCGAAGGGCATCCAGGTCATCAGTGAATACAAGCCTGGCAACTCCACCCCAACAACTACAGATGTCTCCTTCCTCAACGAGCTAAATGACTTCTATGCTCACTTTGACCAGGACAACAAGGAGACAGTTATCAAGTTCAGACCCTCCACAGACCACCAGCCACTCACACTCACCTCCACTGGCATGTATGCTGCTCTGAGCTGGATCAACGTACGCAAGGCTGCTGGCCCTGATGGCATTCCTCAGCGCATGCTCAGGGCATGTGCAGGGCAGCTTGCTGGCATCTTTATGTACATTTTTAACCTGTCCCCCGCCCAAGGAGTTGTGCCAACATGCTTCAAAACCACCTCCATTGTGCCAGTGCCGAAACATTCCACCCCAGCGTGCCTGACCAACAATAACCTGCTCCTTAACACCAACAAGGTCAAGGAGCTCATTATGGACTACAGGAGGGAGAAAGGAGGCACACACGACCCCATCCATATTAACGGGATGGTTGTTGAACGTGTCTCCAGCTTCAAATTCCTGGGGACCCACATCTCAGAGGACCTGTCCTGGACCATCAACACCCACAGCCTGGTTAAGAAGACTCACCAGTGCCTCTTTTTCCTAAGGACACTGAAGAAGAACCACCTGTCTTCAGATGTCCTGGTAAACATCTACTGCTGTGCCCTCGAGAGCATCCTGATCAGCTGTATCACAGTCTGGTATGGAAACTGCTCTGTCTCCGACCACAAGGCATTGCAGCGGGTGGTGAAAAATGCTCAACACATCACAAGGACTCCACTTCCAGCCATTGAGGGTGTCCACAGGGAACGTTGTCTCCGACGTGCTCGTAGCATTCTCAATGACTCCTCTCACCCTGCTCACAAACTGTTTGACCTCCTACCCTGTGGGAGGCACTTCAGGAGCCTCCGGACCAAAATCAGCAGACTCAGGAACAGCTTTTTCCTCACAGCTGTCTCCTTACTGAACTCTGTCCCCTGTTGACCCCTCACTACCTTCCTCTATATCACTACACACACCTTACCCCTTCTCATCTCCCATCCTCCCAGGACTAATGCAATACACTTCTGTTACCTGTAACAATGAGGTGATCTGTTAATGTGAACAAACTCTACTCACAGAATGCCGCTTTGTACTCATCTGCACACTGTACATATGCAGATACTGTATATTTATATTTATCTTTGCACTATTTACATCCATCACTCGTAACTTATCTTCTATTCTGCACTATTTCATCCTATTGCACTAGTGTTTTATAAGCTTAATGTACCTTATCCACTACTGTAATTTAAATCCATAAAGTCTGTTGTATATTGTACATTAGCCTATACTGTATATCTTACTGTAACTATAAATTGTATATATCAGTAAATTAGTTCTGACTGTTCATACTGTAGATACTGCGTACTCTGCACTGCTGTTATTGCGCTTCTGGTTAGATGCAAAACTGCATTTCGTTGCCTTGTACTTGTACATGAGTAATGACAATAAAGTTGAATCCAATCTAAAAAACATGCAGGTTAGGTTGATTGGCGACTCTAAATTAGACTTCATCCGGTGAAAAACATGTCAAGTTGAGCAAGCACATCATCAGTTGGGTGGCAACTGATGAGTTGCTGTGGCGACCCCTAACGGGAGCAGCCAGAGGTAGAAGAATTAAATAAGTTTCATCTGATATTGTGACAGGATACAATCTACACATCACACCATCAGAAAATGAAGATAGATTACATGAAAAAGTATTAAAATGACCAACGTGGTAAATACACTTAAACAAATAGATATAACAACAATCAGCAGAGTAACTGTGCTGCCTGTGGGCATTGAGCTTCACCTACAACTGAGCCGGCTCATAGAAACACATGATTGGTTAAAATGTTGCGCAGAGAGAACATCCTTACATATTTACTGATTTGTTTACACATTTACGGATTTCAGTACATGTCCACAAATTTGTGCACACATTTACAAATTCCAGTACACATTTACACATCTTGGTACACTCAAAAGTCTTCATACACATTTGCAGATTTTTTTTATGCATTCAAAAATCTGAATGCATATTTGCAGAACTCTTTACACATTTACAAGTCTGAGTATACACACAGAGATTGAAATATAGGTTCACAATTCTCCACACACCTTTGTAAATAATTTAGCTACAATATTACCCCCTGTAGAACAGTGTCAGTGGTTGGACAAGTGAGCGGACCCAGCTCTCAGAGGTGACTGCCATTACAAGCCAGCTGGGCCAGCCACTGCTTAACCTGAGAAAACACAGTGTGTCAAGCCACATATCTGCTCTTTCCTTGGGTGAGGATATGAGTCAGTATGTTTTGTGTTAGGGGCAGATTAGGTCTGGATAATGGGTAAACATCATTTAACTCATATACTGTGCTCCCATATGAATGCCCTCCTATTCTTTGGCACATTTAATTGTGTGTTATTGACTGTCAATGTTTACTCCTAACATGGAAACGATGGACGGCCTACACTAAAGTCATTTGAAAAAGTTAAAAATAAGAAACTGCTTTGCTTGTCAGATTAAATATTTGCTGTACAATTTAGTTATTCATTATGGATTAAGGACATCACATACAGTAAACCTTCATATCTTGCCAATTGTATAACAGGCCTTTGTCTCTCTGATGTGTGTTTGTTCCATATCCACGTGTTGTACCTACAGTAAAGTAACCCCAAATGTGGTTTGAAAACTGACAGCTGAGTTGCATGTGATTACTTGGATTAAATGTTGATGACTGACATGCTTACTAATTGATTTTTATGATGTATCTCTTATGAGTTCCTTTTATGACTCCACTAGCCCAGGGGTTTTCAACTAAATATGACCCAGGGCCCATCATTCATACTAAGAAGTAACCTCATGACCAGTGTTGTGGGGTGGCTGCACCGGATGGATGCTCTTTTAATCCTGAAAGTCACCATAGCTTTTCTAAATTCCTTATATTTGTATGAATTTGATAATTCACAACAAAGCAATACATGTAAATAAGTATTTAAAAATTCATACAGTAAAATTACATTACTGCATGCATGTTCAGGGACCACCTGCAATGCCTTTATGGACCACTGGTTCTGATGACTTTTTTTTTGTTGTTGTTGAAATGATTTACCAAACATGATGTGCTCAAATTATGATGCACCAACAATCCATCAGTATAAAAAGTATTTTAAATGTGCTCCACCTCTAACAGCTACAACAATGACATGCTACTTGCACATTAATGCATCAGTAATAGTAGTCTAATGATAAAGAACAATAGAACACTTACAGGGGCCAATTGTTTGCATCATGAGTACTTTTACTTCAATGTCTTGCCCAAGGACACTTCGACTGCAGGCACTGAGATTCAAACCCCCCCTTTCGGTTGGGAGAGGACTGCTCTACCCACTGCACCACTGTCGCCGCCCCACCCTTTTAGTTGACTGTAAAGTTTATGTTTTATAAATTGTGGTTTAATATACTGTTCCTAATGATATAATTACAATATCTGTGACTGTGGTTATTAATACTTCTGTCTGTGTACCTTTCTATCCCTGCTGATTGTGCAATCCGAATGTGAAGAAACAGCCGCTGTGTTGTGTGCGGTCATGAAAGCATCATTTGACAAAGATTGTTTTAACATGCAACTATGATACATTTGTTGAATAATGAATTAATGATACTGATAAACATGATACTTGATCTATCTTGTTCATTTGTGCTATGAGTGTACAATGTTAAATCTCTGTTGTGAAAACTGAGTCAACACAAACATAAATGACTATAAATGAATGGTGAAACAGAAACTGCTGAAGTGCTACAGCCTCTGGAAGTGGAGTAAATCACCTTATTTTTCAAGACCTTTGGTCAGTGTTAGAGTATCAGACTGAATCGGCTTTGATTCTTATTAACCATTCAATTAATTTGTACATTTCATACAAAAGATTAGAAAAGATAACATTTTTATTAATAAAATCTGACTAAATATGGACTGTATTTTATATAGCGCTTTCTCACAGTGTGTTGCACTGGCCAAAGCGCTTTACAGAAGATCATACAACATTCACACACCGATGACGACAGGCTGCCATGCACCGGTGCTAGTCAAGCCACCGGGAGCAATTCAGGGTTCAGTGTCTTGCTCAGGGACACTTAGGCATGCAGGGAGACCGGGAGTCAAACCACCAACTTGCTGGTCAGGAGACAACTGCCCTACCTCATGAGCCACAGCCACCCCAATATTAAAGCCATCCCACACTGTTTGGGGTCATACAGCCATGAACAGAAAACAATACAATCCACATCTAGTTCAGCTTTAACCACATACAGTATTACGAGTAGATTTGTACTCAGTGCAGTTCAGTCACTGCTATATCTTAAAAACACCTTCACATCGAATGTGTTGGTCCATAAATACTTGGCAGAAACTTTAGATGATATATGGAAATGTGTCAGGTTTTACCAGCAGTGGTTTACTATGCTTGTGTACTTAACAATACTCTCAGTATATTCAACCTATTTAAATATCTCAAACCTTTTACAGAGATACAAGGCACTGGATGGCATAGCAGCAAACTATATCAGCTTACTACTGTACACAAAGCAACCAACCCACATTATTTATACCATTACTGGTTGGTGGTATTCAAATTTTAAGCATTATATAAAAAATAAAGAAATAAAATAGTATCTATGGAATGTACAACAAAAAATAAACAATATATGGAATGCTTGTCTTCATGGTGTGTTAGGTGCCTTAATATTAAATATGTGATTGTCATGGATGTCAAATTAATAAGCAACTGCTACTGCGTGGTCTAAGGTCACATTAAAAACTTGGACTGAAGCAGCTGTGATGACAACTCTGAACCAGACACAGTTTTTTACTTATTTACAACCAGAAATAATAAAAGAAAACTCCAGGTCAAAGTATAAAATGTGAATATATTTGGACAGTAATATGTAGGCAATATGGTCTGAATATCTATAAAAAAAGAAGAGGTTTGTGGAAGTAGACTCAAAGCCTGAGTCATTGATCAGCTGAAGTCTCGGTTGGTGAGGATCAAAGGGGCCACCAGGGTCCAGATGTATAGGGCCAGGCACAGCCAGCTGGAGGCGATCTTCAACCACACTGCTGGCCACTTGCTAGTTAGAGTGTAGTCTGTGTCAGGGCTGTTAAGAAAACACAACACCAGGTTACCATCCTTTGTTCACTCATCATAGTGAAAAGTAGAAAAAACACAATAATAACTAAAGAAAATGCGTATGGATGCTGAGTGCTGAAAGATCGCCCTGAAAATGCTGAACATTTTGACACCTGAATGGTTTTGCTAGCTGAAAAAAGCTGAAGTCGAATTTTCCCATTCATTTGAATGGGGCAAGATTTTCAAAATAAACCTAAATATTTCAAAACTATGAAGTTTAGAAAACTTTGGAAAAGAAGCATGAATATCCTTGAAAAGCTGAACATTTTGATAGCTGAAATTATGCTGAAGTAGAGTTTTCCCATTCATTTGAATGGGGCAAGATTTTCAAAATAAAGCTAAATATTTCAAAACTATGAAGTTTAGAAAACTTCTGAAGACATGCATGACTGTCCCTGAAGAGCTGAACATTTTGATAGCTGAAATTATGCAGAAGTAGAATTTTCTATTCATTTGAGTTAGGCAAGATTTTCAAAATAAAGCTAATTATTTTTAAAGTATGAAGTTTACAAAAGTTCTGAATAGCAGCATGAATTTCCTTAAGGAGCGGAATGTTTTGATACCTGAAATTATGCTGAGTTAGAATTTCCCCATTCATTTGAATGGGGCAAGATTTTCAAAATAAAGCTAAATATTTCAAAAGTATGAAGTTTACAAAAGTTCTGAAGAGAAGCATGAATGTCCTTGAAGAGTTGAACATTTGGATAGCTGAAATTATGCTGAATTAGAATTTTCCTATTGATTTGAATGGAGCAAGATTTTCAAAATAAAGGTAAATATTTTACAAGTATGAAGTTTAGAAAACTTCTGAAGAGAAGCATGAATGTCCTTGAAGAGTTGAACATTTGGATAGCTGAAATTATGCTGAATTAGAATTTTCCTATTGATTTGAATGGAGCAAGATTTTCAAAATAAAGGTAAATATTTTACAAGTATGAAGTTTAGAAAACTTCTGAAGAGAAGCATGAATGTCCTTGAAGAGTTGAACATTTGGATAGCTGAAATTATGCTGAATTAGAATTTTCCTATTGATTTGAATGGAGCAAGATTTTCAAAATAAAGGTAAATATTTTACAAGTATGAAGTTTAGAAAACTTCTGAAGAGAAGCATGAATGTCCTTGAAGAGTTGAACATTTGGATAGCTGAAATTATGCTGAATTAGAATTTTCCTATTGATTTGAATGGAGCAAGATTTTCAAAATAAAGGTAAATATTTTACAAGTATGAAGTTTAGAAAACTTCTGAAGAGAAGCATGAATGTCCTTGAAGAGTTGAACATTTGGATAGCTGAAATTATGCTGAATTAGAATTTTCCTATTGATTTGAATGGAGCAAGATTTTCAAAATAAAGGTAAATATTTTACAAGTATGAAGTTTAGAAAACTTCTGAAGAGAAGCATGAATGTCCTTGAAGAGTTGAACATTTGGATAGCTGAAATTATGCTGAATTAGAATTTTCCTATTGATTTGAATGGAGCAAGATTTTCAAAATAAAGGTAAATATTTTACAAGTATGAAGTTTAGAAAACTTCTGAAGAGAAGCATGAATGTCCTTGAAGAGTTGAACATTTGGATAGCTGAAATTATGCTGAATTAGAATTTTCCTATTGATTTGAATGGAGCAAGATTTTCAAAATAAAGGTAAATATTTTACAAGTATGAAGTTTAGAAAACTTCTGAAGAGAAGCATGAATGTCCTTGAAGAGTTGAACATTTGGATAGCTGAAATTATGCTGAATTAGAATTTTCCTATTGATTTGAATGGAGCAAGATTTTCAAAATAAAGGTAAATATTTTACAAGTATGAAGTTTAGAAAACTTCTGAAGAGAAGCATGAATGTCCTTGAAGAGTTGAACATTTGGATAGCTGAAATTATGCTGAATTAGAATTTTCCTATTGATTTGAATGGAGCAAGATTTTCAAAATAAAGGTAAATATTTTACAAGTATGAAGTTTAGAAAACTTCTGAAGAGAAGCATGAATGTCCTTGAAGAGTTGAACATTTGGATAGCTGAAATTATGCTGAATTAGAATTTTCCTATTGATTTGAATGGAGCAAGATTTTCAAAATAAAGGTAAATATTTTACAAGTATGAAGTTTAGAAAACTTCTGAAGAGAAGCATGAATGTCCTTGAAGAGTTGAACATTTGGATAGCTGAAATTATGCTGAATTAGAATTTTCCTATTGATTTGAATGGAGCAAGATTTTCAAAATAAAGGTAAATATTTTACAAGTATGAAGTTTAGAAAACTTCTGAAGAGAAGCATGAATGTCCTTGAAGAGTTGAACATTTGGATAGCTGAAATTATGCTGAATTAGAATTTTCCTATTGATTTGAATGGAGCAAGATTTTCAAAATAAAGGTAAATATTTTACAAGTATGAAGTTTAGAAAACTTCTGAAGAGAAGCATGAATGTCCTTGAAGAGTTGAACATTTGGATAGCTGAAATTATGCTGAATTAGAATTTTCCTATTGATTTGAATGGAGCAAGATTTTCAAAATAAAGGTAAATATTTTACAAGTATGAAGTTTAGAAAACTTCTGAAGAGAAGCATGAATGTCCTTGAAGAGTTGAACATTTGGATAGCTGAAATTATGCTGAATTAGAATTTTCCTATTGATTTGAATGGAGCAAGATTTTCAAAATAAAGGTAAATATTTTACAAGTATGAAGTTTAGAAAACTTCTGAAGAGAAGCATGAATGTCCTTGAAGAGTTGAACATTTGGATAGCTGAAATTATGCTGAATTAGAATTTTCCTATTGATTTGAATGGAGCAAGATTTTCAAAATAAAGGTAAATATTTTACAAGTATGAAGTTTAGAAAACTTCTGAAGAGAAGCATGAATGTCCTTGAAGAGTTGAACATTTGGATAGCTGAAATTATGCTGAATTAGAATTTTCCTATTGATTTGAATGGAGCAAGATTTTCAAAATAAAGGTAAATATTTTACAAGTATGAAGTTTAGAAAACTTCTGAAGAGAAGCATGAATGTCCTTGAAGAGTTGAACATTTGGATAGCTGAAATTATGCTGAATTAGAATTTTCCTATTGATTTGAATGGAGCAAGATTTTCAAAATAAAGGTAAATATTTTACAAGTATGAAGTTTAGAAAACTTCTGAAGAGAAGCATGAATGTCCTTGAAGAGTTGAACATTTGGATAGCTGAAATTATGCTGAATTAGAATTTTCCTATTGATTTGAATGGAGCAAGATTTTCAAAATAAAGGTAAATATTTTACAAGTATGAAGTTTAGAAAACTTCTGAAGAGAAGCATGAATGTCCTTGAAGAGTTGAACATTTGGATAGCTGAAATTATGCTGAATTAGAATTTTCCTATTGATTTGAATGGAGCAAGATTTTCAAAATAAAGGTAAATATTTTACAAGTATGAAGTTTAGAAAACTTCTGAAGAGAAGCATGAATGTCCTTGAAGAGTTGAACATTTGGATAGCTGAAATTATGCTGAATTAGAATTTTCCTATTGATTTGAATGGAGCAAGATTTTCAAAATAAAGGTAAATATTTTACAAGTATGAAGTTTAGAAAACTTCTGAAGAGAAGCATGAATGTCCTTGAAGAGTTGAACATTTGGATAGCTGAAATTATGCTGAATTAGAATTTTCCTATTGATTTGAATGGAGCAAGATTTTCAAAATAAAGGTAAATATTTTACAAGTATGAAGTTTAGAAAACTTCTGAAGAGAAGCATGAATGTCCTTGAAGAGTTGAACATTTGGATAGCTGAAATTATGCTGAATTAGAATTTTCCTATTGATTTGAATGGAGCAAGATTTTCAAAATAAAGGTAAATATTTTACAAGTATGAAGTTTAGAAAACTTCTGAAGAGAAGCATGAATGTCCTTGAAGAGTTGAACATTTGGATAGCTGAAATTATGCTGAATTAGAATTTTCCTATTGATTTGAATGGAGCAAGATTTTCAAAATAAAGGTAAATATTTTACAAGTATGAAGTTTAGAAAACTTCTGAAGAGAAGCATGAATGTCCTTGAAGAGTTGAACATTTGGATAGCTGAAATTATGCTGAATTAGAATTTTCCTATTGATTTGAATGGAGCAAGATTTTCAAAATAAAGGTAAATATTTTACAAGTATGAAGTTTAGAAAACTTCTGAAGAGAAGCATGAATGTCCTTGAAGAGTTGAACATTTGGATAGCTGAAATTATGCTGAATTAGAATTTTCCTATTGATTTGAATGGAGCAAGATTTTCAAAATAAAGGTAAATATTTTACAAGTATGAAGTTTAGAAAACTTCTGAAGAGAAGCATGAATGTCCTTGAAGAGTTGAACATTTGGATAGCTGAAATTATGCTGAATTAGAATTTTCCTATTGATTTGAATGGAGCAAGATTTTCAAAATAAAGGTAAATATTTTACAAGTATGAAGTTTAGAAAACTTCTGAAGAGAAGCATGAATGTCCTTGAAGAGTTGAACATTTGGATAGCTGAAATTATGCTGAATTAGAATTTTCCTATTGATTTGAATGGAGCAAGATTTTCAAAATAAAGGTAAATATTTTACAAGTATGAAGTTTAGAAAACTTCTGAAGAGAAGCATGAATGTCCTTGAAGAGTTGAACATTTGGATAGCTGAAATTATGCTGAATTAGAATTTTCCTATTGATTTGAATGGAGCAAGATTTTCAAAATAAAGGTAAATATTTTACAAGTATGAAGTTTAGAAAACTTCTGAAGAGAAGCATGAATGTCCTTGAAGAGTTGAACATTTGGATAGCTGAAATTATGCTGAATTAGAATTTTCCTATTGATTTGAATGGAGCAAGATTTTCAAAATAAAGGTAAATATTTTACAAGTATGAAGTTTAGAAAACTTCTGAAGAGAAGCATGAATGTCCTTGAAGAGTTGAACATTTGGATAGCTGAAATTATGCTGAATTAGAATTTTCCTATTGATTTGAATGGAGCAAGATTTTCAAAATAAAGGTAAATATTTTACAAGTATGAAGTTTAGAAAACTTCTGAAGAGAAGCATGAATGTCCTTGAAGAGTTGAACATTTGGATAGCTGAAATTATGCTGAATTAGAATTTTCCTATTGATTTGAATGGAGCAAGATTTTCAAAATAAAGGTAAATATTTTACAAGTATGAAGTTTAGAAAACTTCTGAAGAGAAGCATGAATGTCCTTGAAGAGTTGAACATTTGGATAGCTGAAATTATGCTGAATTAGAATTTTCCTATTGATTTGAATGGAGCAAGATTTTCAAAATAAAGGTAAATATTTTACAAGTATGAAGTTTAGAAAACTTCTGAAGAGAAGCATGAATGTCCTTGAAGAGTTGAACATTTGGATAGCTGAAATTATGCTGAATTAGAATTTTCCTATTGATTTGAATGGAGCAAGATTTTCAAAATAAAGGTAAATATTTTACAAGTATGAAGTTTAGAAAACTTCTGAAGAGAAGCATGAATGTCCTTGAAGAGTTGAACATTTGGATAGCTGAAATTATGCTGAATTAGAATTTTCCTATTGATTTGAATGGAGCAAGATTTTCAAAATAAAGGTAAATATTTTACAAGTATGAAGTTTAGAAAACTTCTGAAGAGAAGCATGAATGTCCTTGAAGAGTTGAACATTTGGATAGCTGAAATTATGCTGAATTAGAATTTTCCTATTGATTTGAATGGAGCAAGATTTTCAAAATAAAGGTAAATATTTTACAAGTATGAAGTTTAGAAAACTTCTGAAGAGAAGCATGAATGTCCTTGAAGAGTTGAACATTTGGATAGCTGAAATTATGCTGAATTAGAATTTTCCTATTGATTTGAATGGAGCAAGATTTTCAAAATAAAGGTAAATATTTTACAAGTATGAAGTTTAGAAAACTTCTGAAGAGAAGCATGAATGTCCTTGAAGAGTTGAACATTTGGATAGCTGAAATTATGCTGAATTAGAATTTTCCTATTGATTTGAATGGAGCAAGATTTTCAAAATAAAGGTAAATATTTTACAAGTATGAAGTTTAGAAAACTTCTGAAGAGAAGCATGAATGTCCTTGAAGAGTTGAACATTTGGATAGCTGAAATTATGCTGAATTAGAATTTTCCTATTGATTTGAATGGAGCAAGATTTTCAAAATAAAGGTAAATATTTTACAAGTATGAAGTTTAGAAAACTTCTGAAGAGAAGCATGAATGTCCTTGAAGAGTTGAACATTTGGATAGCTGAAATTATGCTGAATTAGAATTTTCCTATTGATTTGAATGGAGCAAGATTTTCAAAATAAAGGTAAATATTTTACTATAAAGGTTAAAAACAAAAAAAATAATAGCATACATGTGCTTAAAAAGCTGAACATGTCGATACCTGAACGGTTTTCAGGTATCGACATAAAAATTAAGTGCCAATAAACGGACGGAAGAAACCAGAATAATAAAGACCAGGATAACATAGTATGGATGCTGAATCAGCATCCATACAATAAACAAACCATATAAGGAAATCTGAAATTATGAAAGAATTGGAAAAAGCTTAAATAAATTCCTATAGCCTTCATTGGCTGCTAAACTGCCACTCAAATCCCCAAGCCCCGCCCAATCCCACCACCCTTCCCCGCCCCACAGCAGCATCCATACAATAATAATAAAAACCAGGAGAACATAGTATGGATGCTGATTACAATAAATACCAGGATAACATAGCATCCATGCAATAATAATAATCTACAACAAAATATGGGTACATAATTTGAAATAAATTAATTTTGGAACTGCTTCATATCTTGTACAGTGGGGCAAATTGGTATTTGATACACTGCCGATTTTTCAAGTTTTCCCACTTACAGAGAATGGACAGTTCTGTCATTTTCATTGTAGGTACACCTCAACTGAAAAGGACAGAATCTACCAAAAAATTCCAGTAAATCACATTGTTAGATTTTTAAATAATTTATTTCCATTTTATTACATGAAATAAGTATTTGATCACCTAGGAACCAGCAAGAATTCTGGCTCTCACAGACCTGTTAGTTTGTCTTTAAGAAGCCCTCCTATCCTCCACTCATTGCCTGTATTAATGGCACCTGTTTGAACTCATTACCTGTATAAAAGACACCTGTCCACACACTCAGACTCCAACTTCTCCAATATAGGCAAGACCAAAGAGCTGCCTAAGGACACTAGGGACAAAATTGTAGACCTGCACAAGCCTGGGATGGGCTACAGGACAACAGGCTAACAGCTTGGTGAGAAGGCAACAACTGTTGGTGCAATTATTAGAAAATGGAAGAAATTCAAGATGACTGTCAATCTCCCTCGAACTGGGGCTCCATGCAAGATCTCGCCTCGTCGAGTATCATTGATCCTGAGGGATCAGCCTAGAACTACATGGGAGGACCTGGTCAATGACCTGAAGAGAGCTGGGACTGCAGTCTCAACGGTTACCATTAGTAACACACTACACCGTTATGGCTTAAAATCCTGCAGCGCACACAAGGTCCCTCTGCTCAAGCCAGCACATGTCCAGGCCAATCTGAAGTTTGCCAAAGACCATCTGGATGATCCAGAGGAGGCATGAGAGAAGGTTATGTGGTCAGATGAGGCCAAAATTAGAACTTTTTGGTATAAACTCCACTCGCCGTGCTTGGAGGAAGAAAAAGGATGAGTACAATCCCAAGAACACCATCCCAACCGTGAAGCATGGGGGTGGAAACATCATGCTTTGGGGGTGCTTTTCTGCAAAGGGGACAGGACAACTGCACCGTATTGAGGAGAGGATGGATGGGGCCATGAATTGAAGAAATCGGATTTGTGCTGTTCACACTGTCATAAGGAAATCGGATATGGGTCACATTTGGGCAAAAAGATCAGATTTGAGCCACTTCAGCCTGCAGTGTGAACGTGGCCTTACCTAGACACATGCATACAACATGCTGAACGACAATCAACGACACAGGTGCTGTCAGCCTTGAAAGTCCAATCTAGTCACACGTAAACGCATTTGCATCTAACATGCAACCAATGACATATTAGTCATAGTTCAGTATGTGCGTATAACACAAAAAAACATGTAACCAATGTACAACATAAAATCCACAGCACAGGAACTGTCAGCATGGAAATCACAAAGACGTATTACACATACCACAAATACAGGTATGTCTACGGGTATTTTGGTATTTAGGTAATGCTCCGGCGACGACGAACCGTCTGCCAGAGGTTTAAATAAGGAGGAAGGTATTATAGTAATGTGCCCCAGCTGTGCGCGACAACCCACAACCCATGACTGTGTATTAAACCCCAAGCAGCGCTAAAATGTGGGTGACCTACATGCAGTGCAGTGAATCCCTCTGCTGTAGACAGATGGAGCACTGAAGCTGCTGCTGATCTGCAACTGTGATGCTCACACCTTCAGTGTAGACACAATGATATTTTCTTGAACCCAAACCCACCAGACTCTGACAGAACTGGGAAATTTATGAAAGTAAGTAAAACTGGCTTATCCAGCTGGATGGAGGGGTAGGCCATGTGCTAGGAGTGGGGTGCACTGACCTGTACCAGTTGGTGAGGGTCATCATAATGTAGAGCGAGGCCAGAAACAGCATGAAATGGAAGCAGGAGTAACTGTATTGCACCATGTCCCTCTCATTGTCCTCCACCTGCCTCGGTCCTGTTGACCCCTCTGATAGGTTGGGGCTGTTGCCACCCTCAGCCAGGATGACTTTGGAGGACATGGTCAGCTTATTCACCTGGCTGGTGCTAGATGAACGAATGCTGTGGGTATAACAGGGAGAAACAGATACTGTATGCCCAACTGATTACTGTGTTTCTTACAGTAGCCCTAAAGCTCAGACCACAACCGTATATGAGAAATCTAAATGTAGCATAGTGATGTGTACATACACTGATTGTTGTGGCTAACAAAAGATTTCCCTTTAAGGCCCCTTTAGTTGTTCAGGAATTTTCAATTATATACAAGGTGGAGAGGCCAAAAAGACAGGTGGAGGTGAAAACTGCCTCCTCCACATGACATGTTTTGGACCTATTTTCTTAACAATCCTCAGTGAGAATGTTGATATTGTTATGATGAGTGTGTGGTTTGGATGCCAGGTGCAGACTTGGGAAACAGGGAAGGGGATAATATAGTAAAAAGTTTATTACATAAAGTACAAATTATGCTGGGTGGCAAAAGGTCGAGCAGGCACGGGGGTTGGCAAGAAGTGCAGCAGGCAATGGAGACCAGGTCAGGCGAGGAACCAGGACATGGAGGTGAGTAGGCAGATGGATGGCAGGAACCAGGGGGAGTCAGCAGCTCGCCGGGGAAGCAGCAGAGACCAGGTCAGGCGAGGAACCAGGAGGACCGAGGCGAGGAGCCAGAAGGGCCAGGGTGAAGAACCAGAAGGACCAGGGCAAAAAACCAGAAGGACCAGGGCGAGGAACCAGGACATGGAGGTGAGTAGGCAGATGGATGGCAGGAACCAGGGGGAGTCAGCAGCTCGCCGGGGAAGCAGCAGAGACCAGGTCAGGCAGGTAAAATGGCAAGAGGACGGCAGGTAACAGGAGGACCAGAGGATCAGGACGTGCAGATTAGCTGACTAATCATGGTGTCGGAGCATTCACTCCATGGTGCAACTGGCAAGAAGGTTATATGTAGCAGGATCGGGAGGTAATGAGTGGCAGGTGAGTGGAATAATGGCTGATTGCGGTGATGTGGCAGGACAGCATGGAGAGACGGGGAAAAATAGAAAACAAATATACAGTACAGTGTGAGGAGGATTTTGATATTTTGATAAGCCAGTATCTTGGAACTCCAGAACTGTCACTTATTTATTTCTTGCCTCTAATCTACACTGAAAGCATTTTCTATGCCATGTCTTATGCTGCAAATAGAATTCCATTCAATCAAATGTGTCAATCCACACTACATCTGAGATGTATGTACATCTCCCTTGGAGCCCTCAGGTCTATTTTTCCCCCTCTGATGTGTTTAATGAAGCGAATTCTCCACAGACAGCTCTTTAAATCACACAATACAGTTTTTTCTGTTTCTCCTGCTATCTGTTGTCACTGATCAGGCTGCTTTGAGGTTCACTTTAACTTTTGCCCTCTGTAGAGCCAGGGAAGATCAATAAAATCAACATTTCCATAGGGTACTTGTACAGTAAAAATGTGATTTCATCCCGATGATCTTACATGAAAACTATTTTTGTCCTGTACATTTGTGTTGCTGATCAGCCTGATGAAGACCCTCTCCCCTGCTGCTCTCCTGCTGATAGTGTTATGGTGAGTGCGTGATGCAGACAGAGACACTAAGGGAGCAGGAACTATGGAAAGCAGTTTAATGAATAATGAACTAGTATGCTGAGTGGCAGGAAGTCTAGCAGGCTCAGGGCGGGAAATGCGGAGGACACTCGGAGCGTGTCGGCGTAAACAGTAGAGAAGTCCGGTAGAAACTGGAGCTGGGCGAAGATCGGGGTGTGCACGTCACGATCTGTAATCGGCAGTGAACCAATGGGGAATGAGAGGAAAACAGGGTGTATATATACATGGCAGAACCGGGGGCCTATTTCAAGAAGGCGGTTTTGTCGAAACTCAGAGTTTGTTAACCCCGAAATGAGGGAAATTCTGAGTTTTCGGTTTCAGAAACGGAGGTAACTTAAACCCGTGAAGCGGGGTAAGTTAAACCCGTTTCACAAAGAGAGGTAATCTAAACTCAGAGTCAGTTACTATGGCAAATTACTCTGTGAACCTAACCTGCTGGCGAGCAGGTTTTGTTCGGGAAACTCAGAGTTTCCTCCGGGTCTCCGCCCCTTTTTAAAGTGAAAGGTGTTTAATACCTCATTTAATCTTTCAGTACATTCATAGATTGCACACGTTTCCGTCACGCAGAGATCAAAATGGCGTGTCCATTCATAGAGGATCCTGTAGATGAGGACGCTGTAGTAATTCGCAGGGAATTGCATTTACGTCGGGAGAGGATATTGAGGCCACGAGTTGATTTTTTTGTCATATCCCCATGTATTTTTATTTGAGCGGTACCGTTTGTCTAGAGAGTCCATAACATATATCAATAATCTTATCCACCCATACATCAGACACATCACCCATCGTGGCCGTGCTCTTACATCCGAGCAGATGCTTTGTGTTGCGTTACAATTTGTTGCAAACGGCAGTTGTCTTTATAACATCGGGGATGCAGAGCACATTAGTAAGGCCACAGTATGTAGAATAGTTCGGAAAGTGTGCCTCACCCTCAAGCGCTTTCTGTGAATTTTTGTTGTGTTTCCTGGGCACAAACCCCTCAGAGCCATTAAAGAGGAGTTTCACAGGATTGCAGGTTAGTGGTATTGAATTCGTTTCAGTAAGGCTAATCTGACAAATGATGATCAGTTAATAACATCTTGCTGTGGCCTCTGGAAATAAACTAATAATTAGAATCCCCTTCAGGATTTCCAAATGTGGTTGGATGCATTGATGGCACACATATTCCCATCAATGCACCTACATGAAAATTAAAATTCAATTCTTATATTATTACATCAGTGTTGGGTCAATTTTTAAAAAAGTATTTTGATTAATGTAATACTTACTCTCCATAAAACGTACTGGATTATTTATTAATCATTACTTTACAAATCCCATATCAACCACAATAGGAATTTTAAGAAAGGGTAGACATAAAACTGCACTTTTAATTCGTACAAAAATCGGTATTTTATGCAATTACTGAAGTTACTCATTCAATTATTGAAGAATTAAGAACCATTCCTTACTTTACAAGTGACAAATAATAACAACATTACTAACATTATTTAGTAATTACTTACACCGAACACTGTATGATTAAAATGTAAACGTACGCATTGACTCGGGCAGCTATTTTCCCCAAGCTAACTCTTTCTCTTTCGCCGCTGCAGCCGTGTTGTTTTTTTTGTTTGTTTTTTTTTTACGAAATATGGGCTCGTAGTCACTATATGCTTGTAGTAGCACATCCATTTCTGTCGGGGAAAAACGCAGACCTATTTTGGCTTGGTCCTGTTGCCATGGTGACTCGTAATTTCTTCACTCCATTGTTCAGGGCTTTTTATAGTCGCGTGGCACGCGCCTAACTCTGAGTCAGACAACTCAGAGTTGATTAAACCAACTCTTTTCAGCTGTTCTGAAACCGAAAACTCAGAGTTTTCCAACTCTGAGTAAGTCAACTCAGAGTTCAGGTTTGAACTCTGAGTTTGTTAAACCGCCTTCTTGAAATAGGCCCCGGGAGATACTAAGCAACAGGTGAGTGGAATGATGACTGATTATGGTGGCAGAACAGCGACGGGGTGAACGTAAACACAAATACAGGAAGCGACGCTAAATGGATGGACATTAAGATTAAGATATTTCGTGTAATTTTTGCCATGTTTTTCCCAAACAGGATAACACATTGTTAAAGTTAGTGATAAAATCCAGCATGTGTAAAATGTTTTAGCACTTCCCACACATGCTGGCTTAAAAGTCCATCCATTGTCCTTGGAAACAGCAAGTGGCAAATAAAAATCATGTGATATGATCAAAAGCTCCTGAACAGATTCAAAATGGAATGTGAGGTGAGAGAGCAAAATGACGCTTCACCAAAACGCACATTATTTCCATATGAACATTTCAAAAGTGTTTGTGAAGTCTTCATTTTTTTCAAGTAGTAAAGTCAAAGTCAAAGTGTTTATTTGTCATATGCACAGTTAGGAAACGTGTTTCCCTGTACAATGAAATTCTTACTTTGCCATTGTAGTGGTTAAAAATAAACAAGGTACCAGTCCAGATGTAATATGTAATAGAACAGTATGTAGTTCATATATAAATATTATTTGTAATAGTTATGTAAGGGTGAGCTAAGTGTTTATATAAGTTTGATCTCTTTCTTTTCTCTTGCTCAAGCAAGAATATCTTGGGCTGTGTCCCCCTTGTTTAACTTGTGGGTAAACATCCCAAGCTACTTCCTCCTTAGAGAGAATAGATGTGACACCTTTCATCAAACTTAATTTGACAGGTGGCCCCGCCCCCTTTGTCCATTTTTCAGCCAATCAGAATCGTTCTTTTGGTCCTTAGTCCCGCCTTCCGGTTTCTGGTCCACGTGGTCTCCACGTGGCCCCCACGTGGTCACCGGGGGTAAGGAATAGGAGATAAGGAAGTTGTGGTTAACCGCATCTGAAAAGATAAACAGACATCAGTTGCATTCTGTACACGCCTATGGTTATGTATGGTTATGTTGATAAGAATATAACTGTATAACTGTATTTGATATTGGTTGCACCCCTTACATATCAGGGTGTAGTTAAGTATTTAACTTGTTCCTTACTTGATCTTGTAAAATGATCTAATTAAGAATGATGAGTGTGGAATATAGACTTAACAGCCACTCACCGGGCTATTGTTCATTTTTTACTTTTTGTTGTAAAAAAGAGTAGCAACACAGAATGTCAAACTACTGTCAACGAACAGCATTTTAGTGTGTTATCCTTTGAACATACATCCAAGCAGTTAGGGTGAACACGATACCTTTTTTTTTTAATGTGTCCCTCTGTCACGGTTCGTTTTCAACATGCTTTCCACGCCCGCCCCCAACCGCTCGCGTGGCTATGCTGTAGCAAAATAGTAGTAATACAGAATGCTAAACTACTCTCAATGAACAGCATATTACTGCGCTTCTTATAACATATATCCAAGCAGATAGTGTGATCACATTACCTTTTTAAATCGTACCTCTGTCCCGGTTCGTTTTT